ATTTTCATCATTAACCGATAATAGGGTTTTTATCATGAAATTATTCTTCAGCTATTTGTTTCTTTAATCAAAAATTGTTCAGATCTCAGGACCGTATTTAGGATTCCTGAAAGAGAGTTGTTCTCCCGCGTTTTTTTTTTAAAATTGTTTAGTTTCGAAATAAATATGCTAAAACTGATATTCTTTTTCTGAGATCTGGAAATTAATCAACTATCTCTCAAACTGTAAATAGGAACAGATATCATTTTCATAGTGCGAAATTTTTTTTTAAATTCTTTTATTCAGCAGAAAGAGTCGAGTTTCTTGATGTTTCAAAAAGTTGGTAAATAAAGCAATGAGAAGTAAATGGATTGCAGGTCTATTTTGAGGAACCTTAGTTAGTCGGATTAATTACATTACTTACGTGAATATTACAGATTGGGAAAGGTTGGAATCCATCTTTGTAAATAATAAATCTTGATTCGTAAAAGCAAAAACAGACTGAATTTTATAACCCTAAAATGGCAAGCAAATACATGGTATCAAGGAAAAACGGAAAAAAAAATTTTGTAAATCCTGACTTTTATCTTACTATAAGATAAGTAAAGGATCGTCCGTTGATTAACTCATGATCCGGACTACGATCATTTCATTTCGAAAATAAAACAAAACGTAGACAGTCCGATATCCTAAAGAGAGTTTGAAAACCAGTCTTCGTTATCAGAGTTTTGACATGTTCTTTTGATAAAATTTTAATGGATTTGATTTGTTGAACAAATTCCCGCAAAACAAAAACGACCATTTTATTTTTTTTTTTATGTCCAAGCATTTGTATTTCTGTTATTAGTTCAAGTTATACTTTTTAAATATCATAAAGTTTTATTTTTTTAATTCAATAACCTTGTTTTGGTATCTTTTTAAAACAACAAAATTTTTATTTTTTTTTTAAAAATCTTCAAGAAAAATTTCAAAATAAAATTTTCTGACCAGAACTTTGACCTTTTGACTGTATTATAACAAGAAATTTATATTTATAAACATTCCAGAGAAACTCAATACGGATGCACTATTTCTAAACAGGGTGGTATTTAATAATTTGGAATCAAAGCTTCAAAACACCAACACAAATATTTGAACACGCATTATTCACGCAAGCACTTTGAAAAAATATAAACACACTTATTCATATGTATGAATACACAGATAGAAATACGCAGACGCAAAGGCAAATATTCACTTTCATGAAACATTTGAAAGTTTTCTAAAGTAATTAATGACGTATATACTACTATGTAATATCTAAATTTCATTTATTTCAATGAAAAAAATTATGTTTAGATGAAGAGGATATTTGAAGTGACAAAAATGGTTCTACTGATTAATGCTACGAATAAAAGGAATTATATGATATCTATGATATGCTAAATTTTTAATTGTTTCTAAAGATATTTTTCTATTATATTCCTTTGGACAATTTTAAGCAAATTGTTCGATGTCCTCACTGCATTTAAATGAAGATAAAACAAAAAAATCTGATTTTCTTCGTTTGATTATTATGTTTTTTTTTTGTTACGGACATATTCGTAAGCAGATAAATTCTTTTTTACAACACATTTTCTGTTGAATTAATTTAATGTCATTTAAAATTTTTATTTATTTGAAAGAGTTACAAATCCTCTTTGGAAAGGTGAGTTTTAAGGACAATTTATAAATATAATTGGAGAGGAATGAAATTTTGAATTTTGGATACACATGTCTGAAATATTCCAAGTAAGTTTGATCAGTGACATACTGAAAAAAATTCTCACAAAAGATGTCATGTAAATTTTGAATAGACAAAAATACAAACGATAAATAATAATGGGATAATAAAATAGAATAGGAAGAAATATTAAAATGAAGGTCCTTTTCATTAGAGTTGAAATGTCTGGTAAAAATAATGAGAAAAGAATTTCATACTCACAGCACACTGAAGGGAAGAAAGATTTAGAAAATAATAATTTACTTCAAATTACTTTAAGAAAAAAGAAAAAAAAATTCGACGGAAAAGGTTTATAATAAAAATGTAAAAAATTACTAAGAGCACCCACAATTTCTTTATAAATAGCGAATTGATGCTTCTTTTAATCGCAAAAGGATATGATATTTAAAAAGAATTGACGTTCATTTAAATGTATAAATATTTTTACAAATTTAAATATTAAAAACCTTATCTTATTTTCATTTTTTAAATTAATATATATTATATATAAATATATATATATATATATATATATGTATATAAATATATATATTTATGTATATATATATATGTATGTATATATATGTATATATGTATGTATATATATATATATTATGTATATATATATATATATATATATATATATATTTATGTTTTATATATATATAATATATGTATTATATATATTCAATATGACAATTTATATATATATATATTTGATATATATATATATATATATATAATATATATATATATTATATATATATATATTATATATATATATATATATATATTTCTTATATTATATATATATATATATATATATATATATATATATATATATATATAATATATATATATATATATTGTATGCAAAATGTTTATATTGGTATATATATATATATATATATTTGTATGTATGTATTATAAATGTTATATATTAAATAATATATATATATATATATATATATGTATAAATATATTTAAATATATATATTTTTATATATATATATATATATTATATATATAAATATATTTATATATATATATATATATAAAATATATATTTATATATATATATATATATATATATTTATATATATTTATATATATATGTATATATATATAAATGTATAAATATATATATATTATATATATTATATATGATATATGATATATATATATATATATATATATATAAATATATATATTCATATATATGTATAAATATATGTGAGTTTATATATATATGTATGTATATTTATAAATTATAAATATATATATATATATGGTGTATATATATTTTTATATATTAAACTATTGTATATATATATATATATATATATATATATATATATATATATTTATATATATATTATATATATATATTTTATAATTATTTTTTAATTTTTAAATATATATTTTTTATATATAAAAAAAAAAATATAAAATTATTATAATTTAATTTAAAAATAAAATATATAAATATATAAAATATGCTGTAAATTTGTTAGTATATTCTCATGCCAAAGATTTTTACAATATGTTGAATATATATATTTTCATTTAAAATTATAAATATATATATATATATATATATATATATATATATAAAAAGTTTAAATATAACCAAAAAAAATTTTGTTTATAATGTGGATTTTTTTAAATATTTATTATAAATATATTTTAATATGTTTCAAAAATTGTTTCCAATCCTATTTTTTCAATCATTTTACAAACATTTATTTTTATTATTATTTAAAGGAATTTTTTTATATATATATGTTTTTTTGTTTAAGTTTTGCTCTTTTTTTGTAATAAAATTTTAAAAAAATCAACCAGAATCCATTTATGAGATGTGTATTTAACTGTTTTTATATAAATAAAATTTAAAAAAATTTTTACATTCATAAAAGAAAAATGGAAAGATATATAATTTGTGTTCTTATTCATATATTTTTATTTTATATATAAAATTTTACTGAAAAAAAAAAATTCCATTTTCTGTATGGTGTGTGCGTTTTTTTAACTGCATGTGTATAATCATATTCCCTTCCCCATTACAGAAAAAAATATTTTTTCAATTATAAATAAAAAATATACAATATACAATACTTTTTACGTTGTTTTTATTGGTCCAAGTTTTTTATTCGACCATTTTTTCTTAGTCTTTATGGTTTAATTTTCATTTTTCTTTTCACTTAAGATTTGTTTAGTGTTAGTTTCAAATTTGTCTATGTAGTTTTTTCTATTGTATTTGTAGGTTATAAATACTTGTCTATTTGATATACTGGCATAAATTTTTTGTTTTTATCTCTTTATGATGTTTTTTTTACAAAAATATTTTTATAAACATCAGAAGATTCGTAAAAATAAAAATTTTACCTTTAAATAAAATGGAAAAAACCAAATTTTGATGAAAATTTAAAACCCCGAATCATTATTTAGTTCATTTCTAAAAAAAAAAGTATAATAGATATTTAAAAGAATTTTCATTTTTTATATGATAAAAATTGTTTTTTTTTCTCTTTATGCAAAAACTCTCGTTGGAACAACTGTAAATGAACATTTCAATTGACAAAATTTTTTGATCATAGTCTTCGAAAAAATTCTTATTTAGCTATTTTTTATCATATAACATTTTTTTCCCAATATATGATTTATTTTCCTGTGGTATAAGACTTATTTATAAAAATATAAATTGGTAAAAAGATATTTTATAAATAGAACATGAAATTTAATCATAATTCTATGTTAAAAATTTCCAAATTATCACAAGTGTTTTGTATTGGGACTTTCCAAATCGCCTATTGTTAAATTTAAGTTGAAAAAATTCAGTCATAATTTACTATTTATCACAGAACTCGTGCTATTTTTAGAGATTATTTCATTTCATTCATTTCATTTTGTTTTCAAATAATGTCATAAAATGCGGCATTCACCCTGGGCGGATTGATCCGGCTTCTTCCATTTAAAGAATCTTTTTGATTCTTGGGATAAATTATTTAAAAAATATATAATTTTATAGGCCTACTATTATAACGTTCTTGCTTGCCGCGGGTTCCCACAGACGCAGAGACAGGAACGACCAGAAGCCGCCGGTTACCGATGCAGACGCTTATAAAGATTTTCACCAGAGCCCTTGTTAATTTGCGTGTGTATCAACCTGTCCGCCTTTGGTTTGGAGCCAGGAACGAAGTTCCGGGCGGCATAAATGACACTAAAAAATACAATTGCCCTTGACTGTGAGGTAAGGGTTGACTTTATATTATATATATATACCAGGTGTTCCCAATTGGTCCCCATCTAAGTATATACCTGGCTATACGATGCTTAACTTCGGTGATCGAACGAGAACCGGTCATTGTTAAATGATTTGACCGTAAAAATATATTAATTAAATATATATAAAAATGTTCATATATTTCCCATGAAATATTTTGTTTAAAATATATATATAAAATAACTATATATATTATCGTTTGGCAATACCAAACCTGTAACAATAAATTGTTTTATCATAAATAATATTTAAAAATATATTCCGATAAAACATTTATGCTTTTTTTTGATTGGTATTTTTTATTCTGTCCAGGCTTGATAAATGAAATATTATAATTATTTTCTCTGTAATTTTTAAAATGATTGATCTTTATTCAACTCAAACTTCTTCAATAATTATTTTATATAAAAATTAAGATTACAACAAAATTATTACATGGAAATTCCCTGATATATTATGAGCTGCATCTGATTTTCTTAGTATATTTTAAATATAATATATAATTTATCGTTTGAAATTCAATATATAATAAATATATACTTCATATAGTTGATATTTCCAAGGCAAAATATTCAATATATATATTTAGTTCAATATATATATAAATAGGCCTATATGCAAATATATAATATAATTTTATTTTTTTATTTTTCCATTTGTAGATAATTCGACTGAAAAATGTTTTTTTGAGAAGCGTGGAAAATTGTATATTTAAAGGTTTATATAAAAAATATTAAATTTATATTTTGATTTATATAATATTCATATTTTTATATATTTTTTTACATTCATTATCACATAAATTTCATTTGAAAATCTCTCTAAATTCATTGGCATAAATTCCTATTATTTGGCATTAAATTTTATTATATATATATATATATATATATATATATATATATATATATATATATATATATATATATATATTTATATGATATAACATCCATTTTCAGACTGTTCGCTGTATCACATAATAACAAATATATCAATATATATAAAATATACTATAGGAGATACGTAACAAAATATTTATCTATAGCAAATATATATATTTGTTTATTCCTCGGATAGTTGAAAAAGAACACAGGCGTGTCCTAAAGTTCCGACTATAAAATATCATCAAACACAAAAATTTTTCAAAAATTTAATATATAAGAAATATTATTTTTAATATATATATATATATATATTAATGAACATATATTTTTTGAAAACCAAAAAAAAAATTCACAAATGAGACAAAAAAGAAATATATTTTTGTCTCATATGGTTTTTACGACTTGACATAATTTTGCAATAGTAGATAGAAGAAATAAAATTATTCTTATTCCGGACAAGTGTACATCTCAACGTTGCAAAGACAGATCACCAAAACATATATATATATATATATATATATATAAGCAGGATTGTATTTTTTATAAATTAATGACTATTGATTCTTTCATGATAAGTCTGTGTTATATGTATTCCTTTATTATATAAAGATGGTTAAATAACAAAAAGAAATATTAGTTTGTGTCTCTATGACATAAATTTAATTTTGATATTGTTTATGTATATATAGATTATTCTAACTGTTAATAAAAATTTTTATGTATAATTGAATTATATTATTTATATTATTATTCAACGAAATAATGCAATGTTTTTTAATTTTATAAATTAAAAAACAAATATATATATATATATATATATATATATATATATATTTATGTTGGAAATTTTGAGTTTATAAAACCTGGGTTTAATAATTTTGCATATAATATATATATATATATATATATATATATATATATATATATATATATATATGTATATGTGTGTGTGAAAATATATAGAAAATAGGAAGGAACTGGTTATAAATAATCCAAAGTCCCTTAGTATTTTAGTTATTATTTTTTAAAAATATATATATATAAAAGTATATATAAATATAATTATTTATTTAAAAATATGATTCCAAATCGCTACATAAGAGGTCTCATGTTTCAAAACAAGAGCCGAAAACTTCAATATAATCCTTTAAATTAAATTGAGTTGAAAGTAAAATGGGCTCCGTTCCATCTTCAAGCGAAATTTTTGTTGGAATAACGTATATCTGAAATTTACTTGTTTTAAAATTGAAATCAAAATCCCCATGGTAACAGCTATGGTGAATTTTTTAAATTGGGTAGGCGAGTGTTGGGTGTTTATATTAAGTATCGGTATAGAGATACTTTCAAGGTGTCAAGTCGGGGAAAGGTGGGGTGTCAAAAATGAAACGGAAGATGTATTAACCATCGTCTAGTTTGCTTGTCTATGGAGATTTATTTATTTATTTTATTTTATTTTTATTATGAAAGGGAATTATGCATATAAAAAAAAAAAACTTTCGTAACGTTTGTTTTTTTTTTGACGACTTCATAAAGGGTTATCTTTATGTAAGGTATTTAAACTACTAATTTAGGCTATGGATTATGAAGTGTGTTATGTAGTATGCATGTTTGTAGTTAATTATTCCTACTATGAATCTGATGATTGGGCTATTTGTTAAACAAGTTATATAAATTTTTTTTTTTTTTTTATCTAATAATTCAAACCAAAAATCTGATGATGCCTACAAAAAACCGTTAACTCGTGTCTATTATTTAATAGATTATTATTATTTAGAAGTTTAATGATGTGCAATTTTTTCTGGAGGCACAAAGGGCATGGGTCATCCCAAGGGTACATATTCTAGCCTTGTCAATATTTATATATATATTTAAATATAAAACATTTTTGAACAAATTTTTGAAAGGTTCAAATTATTTTCATATATAAAAATAAAATAAAATAAATAAATTTTATATATTTAATCGGACGATGGTTAGTTTATTTATTTTCCCACCTTTGACACCCCCCAAATTTCCCCTATTGACCATTGAAAGTTTTTTTAATATATATATATTAATAAAAGGTCTGATGAATCTGTGGATGAAATTCCACCATTGGTATAATATGGGATATTAATTTCAAATTTTCTAATGGTAAATTTCATATATATTATTTTTACATAAAGATACCTTTTATATATTATTTAAATTATTTTAGATATTAAACTGATTTGGCATATATATATAAGATCTATATTAATTGTATACAATAATATATATCAATATTATATTATCAATATAGTATATTTAGGGTTATATTATATATATTACTATATAAAATCCCGAATTTTGTTTAAATTTGTCCTAAATTTATTGAACCTTTTTAATGTGAGAAATTTATTATTTTATCGTTAAAAAATGGGATGAATTTTTATTAGACATTTTATATAAGAAATTATAATTAACTTTAATAAAAAAAAATATCCTCCTTTAGTTTGATTGCTGCAGCATGTTGAATTTTTGGCATTTTTTTTGCAGAAATTCCTTTTTTATGTTTGAAATTGATTGATTCCATATTTAATTATGACACGCAGAGCTCCTTTTCGCTTTTTTTTTTTTTTTTTTTTTTTTGTCAATTTCATCCGATGCTAATTCTGGTTAATTCTACAAACTTTTGAACTTTGAAAATACATACCACTTTTCAAATTTATTAATTTCTATATATATACATATGTGTGTGTGTATGCATCAATAAATAACGATATAAATATCTACATGTTAATAATCATAATAACACATGTTATACGTTGAAATATAAAATTTTGAACTATGGAGGCAATTAGAAATTTATCTGAAATATATTTTTTTTTATTTTATATATATTTATATATATATATATATATATATATATATATATATATATTTATATTTTTCTTCTCATGACGTCTTACCCTACGAATATTAGGTATTTCAGCTCGTATTATAGCATCGAGTTACTGGCATGGATGTATCTCAAATTTTACTTTTGTTCCAAACGTCAGAAATACACTACAGTGATCCTTCAAATATGGCATCAAAAGAAAGCATTTGACTTGTGTTTTCTTTACCTCTGCATGTATGTGTTTTTCATGCATGTGACAGGATGTCGGTCCCCCGAGTTCATATAAACAAATTCCAACGATATTTATTTACGTTACACGACCCATAAACAGACAAACTCACAAACACTGACACGTTGCCCTTTATTAACAATCTATTCATCTCAACATCAAGCTGTGTAACAATGTTTACAGGCAATAACTTTGTTTTGTTTTTCTGGGGATATTGAAAGTAAAAAAACAGAAACAGAAATTTCAGAAAAGTGTTGGACTTCAGGGGGTCAGCAATTCCATTTTCTTTTCTGTTTTTGACCTTATTCGAGATTTTGTTTTGCTTTATTCTTTTAATAATAATGACAATAATATATCCTGGATTTGACAACGACAAAAATATAACTGATATTTTCACGTAGTCAGGATGTGAATATGTTATATTGTAATGAAGATATATTCGGTACATTATGTATATTAAAATGTCAAGTACATGTACACAGTCACTTCATATATTTATATGAAAATAAATTCTATGCATAAATTATCATATATATATATATATATATATATATATATATATATATATATATTCCTCGTTATATATTTGGAAAATTAGAAATATAGTTTATAAATTCATGCCCTTTTGAAGATTGTTCTCCAACGGTTTAAATATTATTTATGTTGGTCACACCACAAAAAATGCTTTCACGACACTTGACTCTAAATTTGAATGATAACACTTACAATTCTTAGGCTTTTCAAACAACATGACTGGCCGCGTACACAATTCCGAAAATCCTTTTGGAGAAAACACAACTATATTTTTTAAAAATAAATAAAAAAAAAAAATGTTCTAATAATATACATAAAACAGTTGAAACCTAACCTGAAAAAAATAAACTATAAAATCTCCACAAAATTTCTTAAATGCCTATAATTTATAACAGAAGCCATTGGTTTATACCAATGGCTTCCCATACTTAATACTTCTCGTTTTCACTTTCGCGTGGTCTTGTGTAACATCACGTGCTGCGATTTTCGCTTCCGCGTCTCGTATGCACGAGTTTGTCTTTGCTTTGAAATTTTTCATTCAACAAAAACAGACTATGATTATTGTTTTGTCAGTGTATTGTTTGATATATTGAAATG